TATATATATATATATATATATATATATAAATACAAGGTGACAACTATTTAAATGCCCTATTATTTTACATCTTGATTATTATTTTTAATAAATTTAAATAAACACATTGATTATGAATTGTGAGTCACCTTAAACGTAATAAACAAACAAATAAATATAATACTAATAAATTATTAAAATTAAATAAATGGAAGCAATCATAGAAGCTTTTTTTTTTATTTTGCTGAATTTTGAGTTTTAAAAGTTGAAAATATGTTTCCGGATGAGAGAGGAGGAGCGAAGGCGGGTTGAATTGACATCGTAGCAGTTTTTTAGATTTTAAAGCAATTGCTTCGGCATTATTATTTTTTTTTTAAGGTTGCAGGCCAGAATTGTTTTTAAATTTTCAAAATTTATATATAAATATATCACATGAAGTCGATAGGTGCCCGTGCAAACATATGTCATAGAGGTTATTTAAAAGGTATTGGGAGTTATATCCGCGTTATAACCCTTGTAACTTCGCTATAAACTAACTGTATCTTCTAGCAAGTTCATCGTTTATATTTTCAAATATTTTTGTAGGTTATAAGGAGTTTAGATAGGGGTTACAGGTGGTATAACACAGATATAACCACCAATACCTTCTGAATAACCTCTCTGACGTACACAAAACTGCTTAGTTTTACGTACTTAAATTTTTTTCATGCAACTTTGTCCTCGACTAATTTGTTGTTTATTTTTTTTTAATTTGTCATTTTTAATGTTAAATTTATATATAAAAAAAAATCGCTTGAGTCGGAGGAGCAGGAAGAGGACTTGGCCCCCCGGAATTGCTTGAACAAGCCGCTGAGGTGCGGTGCACCTCTTCCTCTCCCTACTTAGCCAAAAATCGCTCGCAAAACCAGTGTGAAGGTTCGATGCCGCTACCCTTCTCCTTCTGCTTCTCCTTCTGCTTCGCCGCTGTGTGAAATCGACGGCGAATCGAGGTTATAGGGTTGATGGAGAGTTTCTTGTTGTTGCTGCTGTTTTCTGTGATTCCTTTTTTTCTAGAACAAGAAGCTGGTGCTGTTATTATCATCGTTCCAGCGAGTATCAATTGTCCTCTTTTCCACGAGGTGCACTGTAGACGCCGGTGAGGACTCTTCCTTTTTTTTTTCCTCGTTCTTTTCTGCTAGTCTTAATTTCAAATCAATTTCATGTTAATCTAAAAAACCCTTGATAATTTGAGTGATTGGGAAACTTAGTTTGGGTTGCCGAAAAATAAATGCATTGTAAAAATAATATATAATGTTAAAGGAATGTATCGTAATCGGAACTCCTTATAGCTGTTTGGTTCTAGCAAAATAAAAGTACTGCTTTGCATTTTTTTTAATTTGGTTTAAGGAAAAATGAATTCAATGTAAAATAAACCCCATTAAGACCGAATGGCGGCACAGCTGTGAGGGGCCGGTGATGGAGGCATAACTTCACACGATTCAGTGTATTTGACACTCACCCAAATCCAGTGAATTTCAAATGCATTGGAAGTAAACTAAAGTATGAATTCAAAAGATATTGAAAATTTACATCTGATTTGTTTTTATTACAACCAAACGTTTCAATTTCTAAAACTTATTCAAAAGGAATGCAATGCACTACTTTTGCTGCTGAACAAATAACCCTAGATAATTTGTATATATTTCAGTAGAATTATGATGGTGGGAATCTAGAATATGGGAATTATATTGTTGATATGATTTTTTCTATGGGTTCAAGTCATCAAAGAAAGAGTTCAATAAAGAAAGATTTGAACTCAGAGAATATGGGGGGAGTGAAAGAGGTATTAGTCATTTCAATATTTGGGGTCCCTCCCCCATATTTATGTCTATAAATGAACCAATGCACTTCATGGACATCTCGAACTCGACTCAATTAATACTTGATTATGCTTGTTTAATTTCAAAAATAAAAAAGTTTGAACATTTTTAAAACTCAAATGTTGAAAGAACCTAATTTGAACTGAGTTCAAATCATTTATTAATTTCATGAACAAATTTTTTTGTTGTTTAACAGATAATTTATTAATGCTTTATATTTAAATGACAATTTATTAAAAAAAATGATTAACTAGAACTTATTTAATTATTTATTTAATATCAATATGCTTATAAGTTTAATGCAATTTTTTCTTATTTTAATTTCAATAAACTAGTTTGTTGGTATGTATTTATGTTATTTGATTGCAAGAAAACTTACATATATATATTATTTTATTTACTTGGTATAAACTAGTTAAATGCTATTTTGAATTTTTTTTTAATTGCTTATTATTTACGTTTTGTAAAATCATTTGATAATAATTTAATATAAAAAATAAAATACTCATTTGAAATTTTAACATGTTTACTTGTTTTATATGTTAAATAAGTAATTTTAAATTTTATATTAAAAATTAAGTATGATTGGAATTCTCAACTTATTCAGTTAAGATAATAAAGTCAAGTGAAAATCAACTATGATCATTAAAAAATTCAAGCTAAATATGAACATATATGTGAAAGCTCATCTTAAATTTTAACTAAATATGAACAGTTTATGATTTGACCAGGCCAATTCTGATCGATGGCATACTTGACCAAACTCGGCTTGATTACAACCCTATTTGTATTACAATAATCACCCATATTTATAGACGTGCTTGCTTATACGTTACAAATAAACATGAAATCCCAATCTTCGATCTATCATCTTTTTCCTTTTCTGGTATGGCGTTATAGTTAATGTTGTTTGGGTAATGCTTTGTATTGTTAATCATTCCTCGAATAAGCTTTTCGCTGAACTTTTCTTTTGTGTTAATGCTCTTGTCATCCAGCTTGGCCATTATTAGCTTCTTTTCTGGTAGAATTGATCTCTAGGCATAATAGATATTTTAAGTGAGTTACTAAGTTGTCTCGGTGAAGCATATGTGTCCTGATCATTAATAGCGAGCAATCGAGCTTTTTGATCGGTTCTCTATTCAAATTACTTGGTTAAATTGACCTGGCCATACTATTGAGCCGTTTAGCTTCACAACTTGAACCTAGTCCAGAGGCTTTAAGCCATGCAAGAATGTTATAGATTAAGAGTTTGTAAACATGCCATCAAATTCAGATGAAATTCGATGGGATCCTAATTCATGGTTAGAATTAGAGAAATGTTATAGAAATATCAAATTAAGAAAATGTTCCTAGTTTATAAAGTTGATGTCTAACATGGAAGATTTGAGAGCATTTTTCATACTATCTTTGTGAATTTATGTTGAGTTTCTTGTAATGCAGTACTCTTTAATAAATTATTAATGTCAAACATTAAATTTTTGTATATACTATATTAAGTGTTACATTAGCTAAATGAAGATAAGTGTTAAATATTTTTGGCCCAATGGGTGGACTATGAAAGATTTTTACAGAAGTTATGAATGTGGTGAAAGATTTATGCATATGTTAACGTAGCTTACTATATCCTAGGTCAAGTCAGATCTTTGTGCACTCTGCACCAATGGTTTGGGGACCAATTGGCTCCCATGAAAATTGCTTTGTGATAACTGCACCGAATCAAAAGGACACCTGTGTTCTAAAAACTGGCCTCAATGACAATTCTATTTGTTATGATGACGTTGCTCAACTACCACTCATTAATAACCATACTTTATATCACAACCATTCATTAAAACTATCTGTATATTACCTTAGCTCTCTTCTTTGTATAATATATGCTTCGTCGTCGCTCATAATTTAGGAAAATAATAGAAATTCTGTCCAAATTAGCTTTCCTTTCCTGCCGTTAATGTACTATGAGAAAAATCTTTATGATATCATACAATTTCCTAATGGCATCAATTCTCTATCTTCTTCTTTCTTCTCCTTACAGACCAATATGCCCACAATGATGACGGATACCGTCTCAGTACCGTCTCAGAATGGGAAACATATGTTTTTTTCAAACTAAAACTCTTGTTGTCTAATATGAAGAAAGTTGTCAACATTCAACTTAATAGAGATCTCAAGTACTCAAGCTTTTCTAGGTCAATGGTTCTGATGGATATCTTAACGGCGCAATGACTTGTTCGAGCAATATTTTTTTTCAATAATAATGGTCTTCCTAAGGTGAATCCTTACTGTAGCTCATGGATATTAATAGATCAAAATCACACCTCTATCTTCTAAAACACATTGCCTATATTTGCACCAATTTTGTATTCATCAATTCTACCTTATATTTTCAACCTTAAAACCTACACAAACATCCGAAAAACCTTTGGTGAAATGCTTATGATCAACAAATCAATCTTGTATCATTCCTCTGAAGGGGGACCTTCATCACCTTTCAACGAAGGACCTTACATGACTCAAAATCTTTCAAAAATAAAAGCCAAGGTCGACATGATTGCTACATCAAAAGCATCTCTCAATCTTTAATATCACGTTGTACTCTTATTTCTCACCAAGCTACCAATTCTGTAAGACAACCATTCGCTTCAACCTTCAACTGGTCAGCCTAGATAACCTTAACAAGCTTTATTAGCTACTGAATGGTTCTTTGATAAAGGCGCGACTTGTTATCTCATTTCTTATCCCAACCAATCGTCTAAACGACAACCATTCATCAGCATACAAGTCAATGACTTCTCCTTAATTGTATCACTTTGCTCTTGCTACTCATTTATAACCTTACTTTGTATCACAACCATTCATTAAAACCATCTTTATGTTACCTCAGCACTTTTCTCTATATAAGAGATTCCTCACTGTTCAAACTTCAGGAAATATATAGAATGCTTTCTAATACTGTAGGTTCAGCTTTCCTTCTCTAGCTTAATAGTACTTTGTAGAACATCTTTATTTTGCTGGTGCATTTGTGATATTGCAACTGCTAGTGATAATCTTATCATTTCCAGCTTGTCATCAATGGAGTTTCCAGTAATTTGTTTAAGATAAAAATGCTTTAAAATTTCAATGGTTTTTTTTTTTGCTCTACCATCCTTCTCATTTCACATTGAAAAAATGCTTTAAAATTTCAATGGTTTTTTTTTTTGCTCTACCATCCTTCTCATTTCACATTGATGTTTTGAAAATGATCACCTTGAGATGATAACTGGTTTCATATTTCTCCTGCAGTTGCAAGGAAATTTATATTGATCACTAATGTGAAATTAACACCCCTTTTAGGAATATTATCATAGTCTTTTTGGCAGATGAAACTTTATGTCATAACTGTCATATGGCCATTTCTTTGTTCTGATTTGCAGAACCTTCTTAATTTTTTTTCTTAAAGTTTTTCACAGAGGGAGATGAACACCATTGAGCTCCTTCCCTAATGCAAAGAGTTTGAGTCTCACCCGGTCAAAGCTAATAGCTGATTCCGCTATTCCACCATTTCTATTTTCCAAATTGCACTTCTCGGTATTTTTCTTAGTTCTCAAAGGGAGCCCAAGACCGTTGCGCTCCTTCCAAATACAAGTAGTTCAATTCCCACTAGTTCAGAGCTGGTTTGGCAGATAGGTTTGACTCACGTGCTCATGCTAGCAAAGCAGACTTTTCTCCTTCTCATGCAAATTTTGATGGGGACATATTGACTTGATCACTTCCATTCATTCGATAAAAAATAGAGGCGCCTTTTCACCAAATTATAAATAACTCATGCAAGTTTATAAACAGGCTTTCAATGCCAGCCATTGTAAGTTAACTCTTGAAGGCAGGGAGCTTGGGAGCCTTTGAGAAATCATCCAGCTTTAAATTTCTTTGCTCCAAATCCCAAGAGTTAAGTTTCCTACCTTTTGGTGTCTTTGAGGCAAGCCATGATTTGCCATTTTTGTTTGATAATTCGGTCAATATACAGACGACTCCTGTAATAACAAGAATTTAAGATCCTTCTCTTAGAGAGAAAAGCCTCAGGTTGGAGGCCAACTTATTTTAATGGATTTCTAGTATGCTAAGGCTCATCTCCAAGATACAAAGATCCAACTTGAAGAATTCTCTTGGCATGAAGGTTGTGCCTTCCACTAAACAGCACACTTTTACCTAGGAGCTTTCATCATTTCATACAACCAACCTTGTAAAACCTAGGCTTAATTTGATTTGCTCTAGTGTTGTCAATTACATATATGTAAATAAT